TCTTTCAACAGGCAGTTGTTTCCGTTATTTTCACTGAAGTCCGTTTGTAGTACAGCTGTTATTCTCAGCTTTTATTTTTTTTTGCACTCCATATAACTTTTATCTTTTTACTAGAGAAAAAAGGGCAGAAAGAGTGGCGGAAAGGGGGGAGGGGCTGAGTATGTAAGATAGAGTGAAAATAATATTAAGTCGATATAATAATTAATTGCTGTTCTCTGATAGCTAGCCTAAGGTGGCAAAATCTCAGAACTATCACGACAAAGTAAACCCCTTTTTTGTTGATCATTTTCTACCAATTCATTTTCTGTCCCCCAGAAAGGTCCCATGGAGCCGGGTATCACACCGATGGTGGCAAATGACCGACTTCAGAACTTCCAGGTCAGTACTTGAGTTACAGACGTAGCTCCTTTCCCAGGAAAAACACAACTGATACAGTCCAGCATACACACTGCGAAATCGGCAGGACTCAGAAATCTTTTTCTTATGTACGAATTTTGCCATGGGCGTGTTTTAAATTGCAAAAATTATACATGTATAATAAGATTTCAGGATTTGAAAATCTGTTACCTTAATACGTGTTTTGCTCTGTGTGTGCAAGACTTCACTCAGTTTTGATTTTAGATTGTTTCCCAATGAACTCTACTAGAAGTGGAATGTGGCAGATAAAAATGTTCACAAACAATTACCTTACAAATCTTGAAAAGTAAAATTCAATTATGTCTGTGTCTTCGTCTCTCTTTTTCTGCCTCCTTTATTTTTTTTCTTTCTCTTCTTTTGTTTCTGACGGTGGATCTTGATTTTTCCTCTGCATTGTTATTTATGGATCGATGTGCTATTCTCCGTTCCCCCCTCAACCCCCACCCTCTAAAACCCCCCAATAAAAACAAAGAAAAGATAAACAAACATGAAAACAATGTGTTGGTATATCTGTCTGTCTGTCTGTCTGTCTTTGCTTTTATTATCTCTCTTTTGGTATTTTTCTTTCTTTTTTTTCACTTTCTCCAATCCACCCCCACCTCTCAGTGGGTGGTTGGCGGGTGCTCTGGTGTGGTTTGCTCCTTCTTTCCTATCAAACATCTATCGTCTTTATCTCCCCTCCTTCTTCTTTTTTGTGTTTGTTACTCTCTTGTAACACTTCTAATCTTCGGCACTTATATGACCTTACTGTGTTGCAAGTGCCGTAAAACTCTAACAAAACTAAACCACCTCTCTCTTTCTCTCTCTCTCTTTCTCTCTCCCTCTCACTTCTCTCTCCCCCCTCCCCTCTCTCTTCCCCTCTATTTTTCTCTCTCTCCCCTTCCCCTCTCTCTCGCCTTCTCCTCTCCACCCCCCTACCCTCTCTCTCCCCCTCCCCTCT